GACACAGATGGTTTGCGAAACACGTGGACAGCACAAAACAAAAAGCAAAATCATATAATAATGATCACACACGTAAAAATCTCACAACATATGGATGTCAACAAGATGTGTTCACAGCAGTTTTGTAGCAAGTTGTAACAATGCTGTTATTTTATCAAGTTGTTACAAGGTTGTCACTCGCAACTTGTTGACAAGTTGTTGAATTGCAGTTCTTGGAGCAACTTGTAACAAGTCTGTTGAGTTCAGCAACCTTGTTACGAGTTGTCAACAAGCTGGAAACAAGTAGTAGGAGCACATCCTGTTGACAAGTTGTTGGAACAACATTGCTACAAACCTGCTGCAGTTTGTTAGAACTTGGGCGTTTTACGTGTACGCACGGAAAAGTCTCACAGCTTGTAACAAGTCTGCCAAAAAGTTGTCAACAAGTTGTCTTCGCACTGCTTGTCCCAAGTTATCAACAAGTTTGGAACAAACTGTTAACAACTTGTAACAACCTTGTTGATATTATCATACTTGTTGCAAGGTTGTTCTAACAAGTCCGATACGAGGCCAACAGACTCATAACAAGTTGTTCCAACAAATCTAATATACACAAGCACAAAATCTCACATCCTGTAGCAAGTCTGCGAACAAGCCGTCCACAAGTTGTGTTCGCACAGCTTGTCCCAAGTTGTCGACACGTTTGGAACAATTAAGCTGTTAACAACTTTTAACAAGCTTGTTGATGTGATCAGACTTCTTGCAAGGTTGTACGAACAAGTCCGATACAGTCATGATACAACAATATTGTTACAATCTTGTGTCATCAACCTTGTAACATTCTTGTTTATCATGACCAGGCCTTAAAATATATTTTACAGGGCCGTCTGACAAAATGTCCGATGACTTTGAGTTTGGGTCGGATATATGTATGATAATGTCCGGTGACCTTCAGTTCAGTTTGTCTCAGAAATAAATCTGAATGACATAAATTAATATCAGCACAATGTATTAATTCTGAACGGCAAATGTTGTGGACCCATTAATTTCCAAGCCAAAATTAACTTGCTTGCCAAGAAAAGCAGTAAGAATTCGACAACTTAAGCCTATTTTCCACTTTCACCATTTCGTTCGTCTCCCGCCCTCGATTACATTCATTTTAAACCAACATTTCCAGTTCACTTTTTATGCACTACTCTGATTCTCCATTTAGCATACGAGCCTTTAGTCCTAGACTAGGGTACCTTTTGATTTACGTTCGACAAACTACAGTTCGGTCGGACACCAATACACTCGGGTCGGACAAACAATAAACCTCAGTTTGATGTAGGTTGGACAGAATGTCCGGTGGTTTCCTCTTTACGTCGGACAATTTCACGAATGGGTCGGACAATGTCCGTGACCGACCGATATTTTAAGGCCTGATCATGACTGTATCAGACTCGTTACAACATCTTTACTACAAGTCTGATAATGCCATAAAGCTTGTTACAAGTTGTTAACAGCTTGTATCGAACTTGTTACAACAACTGGGAACAAACAGTGCGAACACAACTTGTTGACAGCTTGTGAACAGACTTGTAACAACTTGTTTGCAGACCTGGAACAACTAGTGCGTTTTTACGCGTGTACAGAACACCCGAAGACTGCATGTCTCCGCCAGCCAATAAGACATTTCCAAATTATGCCCTGTACACACGTAAAAACACACAAGTTGTCACAGATCTGCAAACAAGTTGTAACAAGGTTGTTGTGAAGCCAATATCAGGATGTGTTCGCACTGCTTGTGCCCAATTGTTGTGACAAATCTGGAACACGTTGTTATCACCTTGTTACAAGGTTGATGACGGTAATAAACCTGTTACAAGTTGTTCCAACAAGACTAGTGCAGGGTGTTCGTAACAAGTTGCTACGAGCTTGTTGTCATCAACTTGCTAACAACTTGCTACGTGCAGACAACAACTTGTTGCGAGTCTGTTGGCCTTATCAATCTTGTTACAAGATGATAACTTGTTCCAGACTTGTAATAAGGTTGAAACAAGCAGTTGACAACTTGTAACAAGCTTGATGGCATTATCAGACTTGTTGTATTATCCCATACCTGTGTTAAAGGCGGCTTTCTGATTGGTTTAGAGCAGGTGAGCTTGTCGTCGAGCTCACCTGCCTTTTGCCGAACTCACCTGCTTTTCGCCCGAACTCACCCGCTAAACTGCTTACGTTGCAATAACATTAACAAATATGGCGGACAAGATTTAGCCGATAAACCTAAACTTTAAAGAACTTTTTTTGGGTGACTAAGATACTGAGACTGAAGGAAAACCAAAGAAAAAATGCAGTAAAGGTAATGTAGACGTAAATAAAGAAGTATGTTCTTGCCCAGTGATTTTTTTTGCCGGGAAAATGGTCACAAAACACGACGAATATATCGCGAAGAGCTACAAATGTGTGTATGGCTCGGTGTATGGGATAAAAACCAAACGTACTTGCAGGTTCGGTGAGTCCGGGATTGGACGCACCTCCCTGCAAGTACGTTTGTTATAAGGTCGTTCAAACAAGTCTGATACAGTCATGGTATAACAAGAATGTTACAAGGTTGACGACACAAGGTTGTGACAATATTGTTATATCATGATTGTATCGGACTTGTTGGAACAACCATGGAACAAGTCTGATAACATCAACATGGTTGTTACAACTGTTAACAAGTTGTTCCATACTTGTTATCAACTTGGGACAAGCATTGCCAACGCAACTTGTTGACGGCTTGTTGGCAGACTTGCTGAGATTTCTGCGTGTGTACTTGTCAAGAGCAATAACACGAAATGGAGGTAATATTCTTAGGGAAGATTATAAGCAGAGAGAGCTTGTATTTCGAGGTATATTGTACTACAGGAATATAGATATTATTACCCGTTTTCGTCGAAAATTTCAAAACAGTAGATATCCAAAATACCAAGCAAAAATGTCTTTCCCAAATATTTCTAGAATAAAATAAACAATAAGATCAGTTGTTGACACTACCCGAGATATTGCGAGGGCAGACGTGGATTGTCAAATATTCCGAATCGTTTGTTTCTGGAAATTTCATTCCTCGAATCCCTTGGGTTAAAATCTTTTTTAATGCGATAGATAGACGATATTCGATCACAAGTTGTAACAAACCTGCAGCAGACTTGTATAGCAATGCTGTTCCAACAACTTGTCAACCGGATGTGTTCGCATTACTTGTTGGCAAGTTGTCAATGGTACAGGTTGAACCGACTTGTTACAGGTCCTGCCAAACAGCTTGCTATCGTCCTGCAATTCAACAATCTGTGAACAAGTTATGAGCGACAACCTTGCCCGAACTTGACAAAATAGCAGCTTTGTTACAACTTGTTGACAAGCTTGCCACAAGCCTGTTGCGAACACATCCTGTTGACAAGTTGTGAGTAACAACCTTGTAGCAACTTGATAAAATAACAGCATTGTTACAACTTGTTGACAAGTTTGTTACAAGCCTGTTGCGAACACATCTTGTTGCCCTTTAGAAAGAGCGTCTCGCATACGCTGCTTGCTCTAGAGCAGGGTGTTAGCCAGGCGGCCGTCCGATCGTCCTACGGACGGCCACTTCTGAATTCGGACGGCTAAATTTTAATGGACGGTCATGGACGGCCAAAGGGAATATTTTCTTTAAATAGCAATTTACAAAGTTTGAAATATTTCTTGATTACTTTGAATTGTTGTCATCTGCTGTTTACTTATGTTTCATACTTTTCCCGTCGAAAACACATTGAATATGGCTGAATTGAAGTATCGACAGACGCGTGTGGATCGAAAAGTAAAAAGGTTCAACGAATAGAACACCACAATTCCACAACAACAAAAAATTGCGGCCACGCCTAAAACCATGTGACCACGCCCACAACAATGTGTGGCCACGCCCAAATAATTATTTTGGACGGCCACTTTTGAAATCCTGGCTAACACCCTGCAGTCTAGAGTTAGGAACGTTTTCACCTAAACAACAAAATGAAAATAATATAACTACAGTATGACTATTATACATTGCAGTCACTACCTCTCTTCTGATAGGTCAGTAGCTTACGACTAAATGTGGAAATTACGCAACCTAGACGGAGTAATGTCGCCCATTGTGTGCTCACGGCTTTCCCGATCTATCTTTTGAGGGTGACACGTTTGAGGCAGCACTTTCCTTGCAGGAGTAACTCCTACACGCGTAAAAACGCGCAAGTTGTTACAAATCTGCAAACAAGTTGTAACAACGTTGGTGTCAAACCGATATCAGGATGTGTTCGCACTGTTTGTTCCCAGTTGTTGTGACAAGTCTGGAACAAGTTGTTATCACCTTGTTGTAAGGTTGTGACGGTATAAACAGACTTGCTACAAGTTGTTCCAACCTGTTCGTAAGAAGTTGCTACGAGCATGTTGCCATCAACTTGTTAACAACTTGTGACGTGCAGACGATACACACAATGCACAAGTTGTTACAGGTCTGCAAACAAGTTGTTACAAATCTGTTCACAAGCTGTCGACAAGTTGTTTTCACACTGCTTGTTCCCAGTTGTTGTAACAAGTTTGGAACAAGCTGTTAACAACTTGTAAAAACTTGATGGCATTACCAAACTTGTTACAAGGTTGTTCGAACAAGTCTGATAAGTTATGATATAACAAGAATGTTACAATGTTGATGACACAAGGTTGTAAAATATAATATAATAGTGGGTTTATTAATACACGTTCAATAGCAAAAAGCTAAATTACAACGTGTTTACATCGTCAGATATTAATTAGAATTAATTAGAATTATTACTTATTTAAAACTATTTACATCAATGGACCTATATGTATATTAAAATCGTTTATATATATTTAAAAAACTCATTAATAATTCAGAAGCAAAACACAAAGAAAAATCATAAGCGTGTCGTGGTTTTATATGTGATAAAAAATCACGTTAATTTACATAAACTTTAGCTTTGATTTTCTCGGTTTAGACAAAGTTTATTTTAAAAATTACTTCGCCAATGAACTCGTATAAGATGAGTCGTTTTTAAGCTATTTAAAGCACTTGTAGTCGTGTTTTATCACATATAAAACACTCCGCTACGCGTCGTGTTTTATATGTGATAAAACACTCCTACGCGTGCTTTAAATAGTACTTCAAAAACTCATTAATAATTCAGGAGGAAAACACAAAGAAAAATCATAAGCGTGTCGTGGTTTTATATGTGATAAAAAATCATGTTAATTTACATAAACTGTAGCTTTGATTTTCTCGGTTTAGACAAAGCTTATTTTAAAAATTACTTCGCCAATGAACTTGTATAAGATGAGTCGTTTTTGAAGCTATTTAAAGCACTTGTAGTCGTGTTTTATCACATATAAAACACTCCGCTACGCGTCGTGTTTTATATGTGATAAAACACTCCTACGCGTGCTTTAAATAGTACATATATATATATATTATATATATATATATATATATATATATATATATATATATATATATATTATATATATATATATATATATATATATATATATATATATATATATATATATATATATATATATATATGGAATTGTATAAATATGTATATAAATCTTACTAGCATGAACTACAGGGCTGTTTCTAAAAATATTGTTATATCATAACTGTATTGGACTTGTACGTTGGAACAACCTTGCAGGAAGTCTGATAACATCAAGAAACTTATTACAAGTTGTCAACAGCTTATTGTTCCAAACGTGTTGACAACTTGGGACAAGCAGTGCGAACACAACTTGCATACAATACAACAAAAAGCATACAATACAACAGTGATAGAGTATAAGAAATAAATTTGAATTTATCGCATAATATTTTAACAGCGTCCTTGTTTTTATCACCTTTCATGAAATTGGTGTTCAAAAGGGCGAGAAAGGGGTAGTATACCTTATAGCCACGGCTGTTTGTGGCAATAAAGTATAACGGATTTCAGTATACCTTAAAGTCATGGCGGTTTGCAGCTATAAAGGCTAGTAACTCCAGACGAATGGCCTTCGCTTGAAACGTCGAAATTCTCCTTTAATTATTGTGACAGATTACGCAACATTACTTTAAATTTATTTGTTATCGTAATACTTCATGTAATAATATTAGAAATATATAAAGTTTCAAACATGGCGCCCAACGTCACGGCAACGTGCCCTTTAGTTTATCGAAAAAGTTATGTTTTAGCGCTATGACCGATCAATTAGAAAGGAAAAAGGCTACCCGTCGTGGGAACAGAGCAGTTATAACGAAATACAGTAACGAAGCGAAGGAATTATTGGCAAATGGAGAAAATATCGACGAAAATACGAAGGATCGTTTAAACACGTTGCACGATCTTCTTGAGGAAAAATTACAAGTGGTAAAGAAATTCGACGAAGAAATCTTACAGTTATGCGAAGTTAAAGAAATAGAAAACGAGATTGAAGTATCCGAGGAATTAAATTCACGAGTTCTTGATGTTAAAAAACAAATATCCAAGTTTTTTGCGAAGAAAATCGACGATACGGGAAAAGTACCTATTCACGATATATCTATACCTGGTCAAAATACCCCGCAAGTAGAAATAACAGAGGTAGGTGAAATTTCCTCTGAAATTAATGTCAATAATGAAACAATAAACGAACAGGACAATGTTAATTCAACCCAAGATCCTACACCAAGTAACCCAACCTTAATTCACCCAGACCCTAGTAGTCCAACAACCAGTCAATCAAGTGGAAATTACGTCATAGGTTATGGTGCAAAAACGAAGCTTCCAAAGTTAACTTTACCCCGGTTCAGAGGAGATATTACTGAATTTCAACCATTTTGGGATAGTTTTGAAAATGCTGTCCACAAGAATACCAGTTTGTCAAGCATTGACAAATTTAATTACTTATATTCCTTGTTGGAGGGTTCAGCATTACTGGTTATTAAGGGATTGGCTTTGACGGAAGAAAACTACAAGGTTGCAATTGACATTCTTAAACAACGTTATGGCAATACTCAAGTTATCATATCCGCCCATATGGATGAGATGTTAAAACTTCCCGATTGTTCGACTGGAAAGGTACGCGATCTTCGAAGAGTGTATGATAAAATTAATGTTAACGTAAGAGGGCTTGAGGCACTTGGAGTAAAATCGGAACAATATGGTAGTCTACTCATTCCAGTAATCATGGCAAAACTACCACCCGAGTTACGAATCCATGTTGCAAGAAAGACTGCCAGTGAACTTTGGAAAATTGACGATATTCTGGAAATTACTCGAAAGGAAGTGGAAGCACGGGAGATCAGTGAGAGTTTTCGTACAAACAATTCTAGTTTTAATGACATTCGCAAGCAAAATGAAGTATGGAAACAAAATCGACAGCGGAATTACAGTTCGTCTGCGGCAAGTCTATTCGTTAAAGATGGGAAAAATGAGCGAAAGATAAAATGTGTCTATTGTGGACAATATCATTACTCAGCATCGTGCGAACATGTGAAAGATGTGAATGATCGAAAGGGCATTTTAAGAGATCAGAAACGTTGCTATTTATGTTTGCAAGGTGGTCATTGTGCACATGAATGTGAAAATGGCAGGCTCTGTCGTTGGTGCAATGGCAAACACCATCAATCTATTTGTACTAAAGCTACCAAAACATTTCGAAAGATCAATCCTGAAGAAACAACAAAACCAGAAGCGAAAGAGGAGAAAAAGGAAACGCAGAACCTCACAACAACTACAACATCGAACGGCTCATCAAAGGTGATTTTGCAAACTGCCACGACATATGCTTATTCTCAACATAGCAACAGAGCTATTCCTGTTCGAGTGCTTTTAGACGACAGTGGTAGTCAAAGATCATACGCAACCAATCATCTGAAGAAACGACTTGGCCTTCAACCAGTAAAGAAAGAAACGCTTAACTTGAACACATTTGGGCAGGATAAATTCACAAAACAGAAATGTGATGTTGTTAGTTTAAACCTGAAAGGCAAAGAAGGCAAAGATATCGAAATTTCAGCTCTTTGTTTTGAGAAAATCTGTTCACCTCTTCCTACCAAGATTGAGCTCGATAAATATCCGCATTTGATGGGATTGGTTGGATCTTGCTGATTCCTCTCTCGCCGAGAACAGTCATGATGAAATCGACATCTTGATAGGATCTGATTATTATTACGACATTGTAATTGGGGAAATTGTAAGAGGAGAAGGTGGTCCAGTGGCTGTCAACAGCAAATTTGGATGGGTTCTCTCTGGGCCATCGAGAGACACTGGAAAAAATAACAATGCAACATTATCGCACTTAGTAATCGAACGAGAAGAACCTGCAACATATCTATTGCCCGGTAGCACCAAACGAGATGATAACCTGACAGATAGTCTTCAAAGATTCTGGGAGACCGAATCGATTGGTATCAAGAATGATACGTTTAGTGAAACCCAGACAACGGAATTTCTACCCGAGATACATTTTGATAAAGGCGAAGGAAGATATGAAGTTAATCTGCCTTGGAAACAGGACTGTTTTCCAAAGTCGACAGGATATGGTATGTGTGTCAACAGATTGCGACAACTGCATTCACGTCTGAAGAAAGACAATACTCTTCTTGAAGAATATAATCAAGTCATTCAGCAGCAAATAAATAGTGGTATCATCGAATCAGTACCGGAAGAAGACGACAGCGAGGGTTACTACTTACCGCATCATGGAGTGTTGAAGTCCGAGAGAGAGA